CTCCAGTGGGGCATCCGTGGGCTCCCATGTTTATGCCCCTCAGCCGCTCTGCTGCACCTCTTGTTCTCTCTTTATTCAAGAACATCACCTGGTGTTTGTGTACTTGCTCCATCTTCCTAAAGTAATGAATTCAATTGATCGATGCAGCTCCATTTTATTCTTTTATAAATGAATTTTGAGTATGTTGCCACCTGTGTATCCCATGAGCACTGTCCTTGGAGAGCCCTCATTGTCTGCTGTCTGAACTTCTTGTGTGGGTCCTGCCACTATGTCCTTGTCCAGTCTCTCCAACTCCTTTACGCTGCCGTGAGAGGGGCCTTTCTAACAGGGGGACTTGGTCGTATCACCTACCTGCTCAGCATCTTTACAGGGCTCTGTCACTTCCGTGATTCATGCCAGAGCCTATCTGGTCTCAGGCCACCTCCACAGGCACGCCCTGGCTCCTTCCCTCGCAGCCTGTGCTCTGATCGTGCACCCCGGCCGCTGTGCACACATCCTGTGCTCTCTCTTCTCCCCCTGCCTTTGCATCTGCTGTCCCCATTACCTTACATGGCCTCTTCCGTCCTGACCCTTCCCTGTCTCAGCACGTCTTGACTTCCAGGAGGTAGATAGATCGTCCCAGGATACCTCTTCACACTTCACTTAACGAGCTTGTGCTTTGACACTGTAATTTTTGCATGCCTCTCTCCCTTTCCGTGTCCCCGAAAAATCTCTTTTCCATCTTTGTATGTACAGTGCCCAGCAGAGTCTGTGGCCCAAAAGTACTAAATGTTGAATCAATGAGTAAATGGACTATTACTACAATTCTTTCTGAACTGGTCTCCTTCCTCTTCCCTCTTCCTTCCAGTATACCTCTCAATTGCGCCAACTGGTTTTCAGGCCTGATCCGATCGTGGCACCATCCCACCTGAAAATATCCTCCCGCCTATACTAGAAAAGCATCCAAAGTCCTCAGCATTCAGCCCTTCAGAGCTGACTCCAACCGTCTTCATTTTGGGCCACTCACCCCCAACTCTGCCTTTTTGCTTAGGTCACTATTTCCCATTTTGACAGCTTTCATCTCTGCTGCCCTGTAAAACAGTGGGTATAGCCACACCCCAGGTTGTTCCCAGCACCTGCACAGGACCTTACCTCCTGTACTGCAAACTGCTTTCGCTTTGCTCCCTCTGCCCAGTCTCAAACTCTCAGCTCTGTGGAGACATCTCTAGCTCTTTGGACTTGGGGTTTCTACTTAGATTCCTTGGAACTGATACCTGGCCTCTCAGCTCCCCATAAAGGACCGTGGCAGAGATGGATTCACTGGCTCTCAACTTCTCTCCTACTGTTTCTCTATACTAAGGGATCACTCAGTTTCAGTGGGGCACATGGCCACCCAACATAAAAACGTAACCTTCTCCAGCCTCCATTACAGCTGTGGCCACCTACCTCACTCCTGGTGAGTGTGATGTGAGTGAAAGTGAAAACTGAAGCCTAAGCCACTGCGTTTTTAAGTCTCTTATTGTAGACGTATCCGGATGGTAATGAATAAGACTTCGGCTTGAATTCATTTATCTCAATCTCTTGCTCTGCCTCACTTGGGTAGGACAACGTGCCCCATTTAGGTCCCCCTGGGAACCCATTTCCAGAAGCAGTGACTGGCATCACAGCATTTATTCTCTTCACACAATCCACCCATCGAGGGGGGAGCTTAGATTCTTTTCTCCACTCCCCCAACACATAGAACTTTGCTCATCATTTCAACAGCCCCCCTTCCTGTGTGCATTCCCCCACATCTGACTTCATGATGTTTTGTTCTCCCTGCCAATCAGAACTGTTAACTTATTCATTGTCACAACCCTGGGCTCCGGCATAGCACCTGGCACAGAGATGCTTCCACCTTCTATAAAGTTGTGAGGATAGATGAGCAATAAGTACTTGTGAAGTGTTGAAACTGTGCCTGGCACTTAGTATGCGCTCAAATACTGTTGTTGTTACATGTCAGTAACGTGACGTTTTCTTTGTGTTCACTGCTTGTGAGCCCCGCATAGCACCACAGTCTGCACATCTGCAGCAGTTTTGGGAAGTGTCATCCTGCTTTGCTTCTATTTCGTGCTTCCTTAAAGTCAAAGTCAGCTGCTTTATGTCACTGCCCACTGGTCTACCTGAGCACAGTAACAATTAGATACGGTATACTTTGAGGATCAGAAATAAGAGGATCTTGCAGATTTGGGTTGCATCTTTTATCATTTCTGTTTGGAATTTGAAGCCACATCACCTAGAATTGAGATCAGTGACATTTATTGATATGCTGTAATACATTACCACTTAACTAAATAAGTAGGTTGTTTTCTAATTGGTGATGATTATGCTCATTATAATAATAATAGCAGCTACTATTGAGAGTTTAGTAAGTGCTAAGAATATAAGCTCTTTATGCATCTTCATAGAAGTCACATAACAACCCTATGAAATACAGATATTTGAAACACAGATAAGGAAACTGAGGCAGAAAAATGTTAAATGATTTACCAAAAGAGGTAGATAAAGTAATTTATATTGGCAGGATTATAATCCAGGTCTCTTTGGGCTCTTACCTGCTTTTGCTGCAAGTACCGATTTGCATAATAAATGTATTATTTTTATCTCTTATCATCTGGAACTCACAAAGTTTAGTGCTTGAACTGCATTCTACTTACTACTCTTATTAGAGTCAATCTCTAAATTGACGTTTCTGAAATGCTCATTAACTATCTTATGCATTTACTGGTTTTGTACAAATTAATAATAACAGTTTGATAAGAATTGTTATTTATATATTTAGCTTTGCTTTCAGTTAATTTCCTGGCTTAGTGGTTTCTTAAATCTGAACCCCAGGCCCACGAGATTCAGATTTTGATTACAGTTATAGAGCAGACCCTTTCAACCTGAGTAGGGGCAGTGAGAAGCAGAGTCTTAGCTGACTCCGTTTGCAGTCAGGGGGACTTTCTTTACTCAGGGGTACTCTGGTTCAGCTCCTCTGTTTCGTGGGTCCCAGGTCTAGCCCCTCCCCCATCCCCACAGCATCCCAAAGGAGTCTGTATTGGCTTTGCCCTCAAACCAGCACTGGCTTCCTGTTTAAATTTCACTTAATTGGTGGTTTCAGCTTATTCCTTGTTTTTCTCTGTTGCCCTTGGGGATTTCCTGTCCTTCCTTGTGAACTTGTGGTTGCATTTAAAGTATGTTTGGGCAATATGAAGCAACTGGAACTCACATGCTCGTTCTCCTGGTGGGAGGAGTGGAAATTGGTATAGTCACTTTTGAAAATAAAGCTCTTTGCTGTATACTTACTGACATAACACATGTGCATACCCTGTGACCCAGCAATCCCACTCTGGTGCATACACTCAGCAGAAATAGGTACATGTGTCCACCAAAGGGAGGTGTGCCAGAATGTTTGCAGGAGAACCCAGATGTCCATCAATCAACAAGACCACAGATAAGTAAACTGTGGTATATTCACATCATGGGAGATCACAACAGTAAATTAAAAAAAGAACAAACAAAACAAAAAAGATGAACTCGGACTACTCCTAACACATGGATGAATCTTACAGACATTATGTTTCATGGAAGAAGCCAAATATAAAAGTGTACCTGCAGCATGATTCCATCTATGTAGGTTTCGTAAGAGGCTAACCAGTCTCTGATATTAGAAATCAGAGTAATGGATACCTGGGGGGGGAGAAGGGAGGGCTCGTGACTGAGATGGAAGCTTCCAGAGTACACCTTACACACAAGTATGTGTACTTCATGATCATTCTTCAAGCTGCACATTCTTTGTGTACTTTTCTTTGTGGATATTATACTTCTAGAAAATATTTACATAAAAAGAAAAATATCTTTTGCCAAACAGAAAACAGGTACTTTATAGTAACGGTGGAGAAGGCTTTCAGACTGCCTGGTTTACTGTGTTGTCAGAAGTGGAAATCAGCCTCAAGCGTGTGCATGCGTGCGTGTGTGTTTGTGGAAGTGATGAGAAGGACGTTAGTTACTTGTTAGTTACTCTGGTTGTGCAGTTTGGTGCTTATTCTTGTGGGAAATTAGTAAACAAATGATGAAGAGGTAAAAGTTGATATAGCAGAGTTCCTTGGTAAATATCCTGAAGTAATACCATGCCGGGCAGTTATTTATTAGAAAATGTTTGCATATATACTGTTTTACTTCTACTTGAGCTTAAAAATTTTGTCTTGAGCTTGAAAATTTTGGGAAAATAAGACTTTTCAGTTCATAGGTTACTGATATTTTTGAGAGAAGGTTTCCTTAAGCAGCACAGAAGAAGAAAAAGCCGAAGAAGAAAGGGAACATGACTTCAATATCTATTGGGAATGTTTTTCTAAAAACTCAACCAACATGGTCTTTATAGATTTCAAGTTAAAAAAAACAGGACAATGTAAGATGTCACATGAGAGAGTGCTTGCGAGGACTCTGGGACAGAATTGGTGAAGCTGGAGCCTGTACTGACGTGACCTGCAGCACACTTCATAGTCTGAGAGGCATTGAGTAGCATCAGCTGTGGCTAAAGCCTCTTTGATCTCTGTTGCCAGATTACCACAGAAGAACATTGTCTGCCGAAGTCCGTTTCTTCCTAATGTCACTCTGCAAACTGAATGATCAGGAAGCCATTTTTTCCTCTTGGAACCTAAGAGGCTGTTCTGTGGAGCAGTGTTTTGATCCTGTGATTTGCATTTAAATGAAGCACTCTTTGGTTTTCATTTTGAAACCTCGCTTAGAATAATCTGTATGTTTGGGTTGCTGGAATTGAAGTAAGATGTCTAGCTGAGAATTTTTTTTTTTTTTAGCTGAGCCATCCTGCCACCTGTTGGCAGCTCAGCGGCAGCTCATCTCGGGCCAGGACTCGAACCGCTGTTGCTCATAGCTGAGAATTTCTGATTTGCTTGCGGCAGGCAACTGACTTTTCCCTTTGGGTGTTAGCTCCAGTTTATTCATTGGGATGTGAGGTGATAGAGCTCTTATCTTTGCAGAACTGCCTGGAAATCTTGTGTAGGCATGCAGGGCTGGAGCCAGACAGGAGAGAGAAGTGCAATCGGACTGTGCATGACGTGGCCACAGACGACTGCAAGCACCTGCTGGAGAACCTGAGTGAGTGCTCTTCACAGCTTCACCGGCCCCTCCTCCACAGCGGGGGCCTGCACAAGGCGGAAATACTAATACAACCCCATTGTTCTCCTTCTCTGCTTAGCCTTCTTTGAACCCTGGCTACTACAAAAAAACTTTATTGGTTATTAATGTAATTTTTTTTTCCATGTAGAATGACATTTTTCCAGAATCAATTGCTATTCAAATAATTCAAGGTCTTCCTTGCATTTTGCTGACCTAGGAAGGCATTCTGAGTAATTATTGCTCTTTTCGTGCAGACATGAGACTAGCAGGGTATGAGAAGTCATGGCTGGGTACTTGGCCCCTAGCTGGTTATACGAACCTAGGCAAGTCATCTGGTTACCAACCTTGTCTATGAAAATGATTGGTGATGTTTTTGGTTTCGTCCAGCTCTAAGAATATATGCTCCGCAGCACAATTTATGAAAAGTTCACTTGTGGGTTTATGAATATGGAGTGCTAGATGATATAAAATAACGTGACCTCTTACATCGAGATTATCACCCAATCCATTCAATCAGCCAGCTGTACCAGTAATTCAAATTTATATTCTAATGTTAAGAGTCAGAAAATGAACAATAAATTAGAAAGAATTCATCCTGTGGCATGTGGGATGGTAATACGTGCTATGGAAAACATGAAGGGGGGTAGGGAGTGGGCATTTTAAACATAGGTTTGGGAGTTTCAGTTTTTCAAATGAAGGACAGGGTAGCTTCACTGGTAAGACATCCAAGCAAACACTTGAAGGCGGTGAGGAGGGCAGCTATTTGGTATTCCAGGTTAGAGCTCTCCAGGAAGAACATCAAGTGGGCAGAGGCCCTGAGGTAAGGGTCATAGCTGGTGTATCTGAGGAACAAGGGGGTTAGAATGACTGGGTTAGAATGAGCGAGGGCAAAGAAGTAGGAACACAGGTCAGAGATGGTCCAGGATGGGGTGGGATAGGGGCCTGGTCTTGTTGGAATTTGTAGCCATCATAGGGACTTACAGGGAGCCCTGTCTGTGTTTGAGTATACGAGTGACAGGAGCTGATATACGTACATTTTAATAGTCTCACTGGCTGCTTTGTTGAGAATAGACTCTTCTAAGAAGTCCCAGGTAGAATGGGGGACCCGTTAGGCCATTATGTGGTAATCCAGGTAAGAAAACAATCTAGGATTGTAGCCAATGAGGTAGTGAGAAGTGGTTTGGTTCTGGATATAGCTGAAGGTACAGCCAACAGAACTTCCTGATGGATGGAAAGTGAAGTATGAGAGAAAGGAGACTCATAGATAAGTCCAGGTTCTCAGCATAAGCAACTGGCAGGATGGAGTTGCTGTTACCTGCTGTTACCTGTCAGGGGGAAGGCTGTGGGTGAAGGGTTTTGCTAATGAGGATCAGGAGTTCAGGTTTGGATGTGGGAATAGGAGATGTCTGTTAGGACTATGAGAGATGTCAAGTCAGCGGGAATTCTGGAGATGAGTATGAGCTGAATGTGTCAATCAGAGTCAGCAGTGTATAGATGATATTTGAAGTCATGGGACTGGATGAGGTTACTAAAGAAGTGAACACAGATAGAAAAAAATAAGAGTGATGACTTTGCAACACTCTATCATTAAAAAATCTGAAAAAAGTGGAGCGACCAGCAAAGAAACAACATTAAAGAGTGACCACTGAGGTCTGAGGAATCCAGCAGGAGTGTACATCAGAAAGCAGAGGGACATCACCTGGTCAGATGCTGATGATAAGATAAGGACTGAGAATGGACAGTCAGGAAATAAAATCATCCACTAGTTTAGGGGTCGGCAAACTTTTGAGATGGAAGAGCCGCCAGGGGTCAGCAAACTGTGCCTTGCGAGCCACATGCAGCTCTTTGGGTACGTACATGTGGCTCTGAAGTAAAATTGAAAATGAAAATAATGCTATCATAGCTTCATTCGTAAAAATTTTAAAGGATATTATTCACATAATGGTGATTTCATTCGTTTTATGGCTCTCGAATAATTTTTAAATTGTTGTGAGGGACAGGATTGGCTCTTCCAGGGGTCGGCAAACATTTGAGACGAAACGTACCTAGAACCGCATGTGGCGCGCATTTGCTGACCTCTGCACTAGTTGGTCACTTAATGGAAAAAGCCAGTTTAAGAAGGGAATCATAAAAATACACATTTTTAAAACATTTTATTTTAATTTAAAATATAAAGTAATTCTTTCACCCACTTGTAGGTGGAAGTTTTCATTTCAGTTTGGTTCTAATGATTGAAGTTTCACATACTATTCTGGTTTGAACAAAACACACCTTTAATGCTTCATCTATGATTTCTAGTGTTTGAGGACTTAAACATATATGTGAAACAAACTAAAGACAGTATCTGTCTCGAGACAATTAAATTTTTTTCTAGTTTCCTGTAATTGTCTCATCTATACCTCATTAGATGACTTTTTTCTTAGCAACTCCTTTGTTCAGTGTCTCTAGAGTTCAACTAAGTAAGTTTAGCTTACTATTTCATAGGAATAGTAACTCATTTCATCAGTTTATAGAATATTTAATTTGCTAATTATAATTTTGGTAATGAGTTCACAGGAGATTTGGGGATAACCACAAGTGACTGTTGGTAAGCATATAATTCAGTTCTTAAGAACAGAAGTGCATGGGGGCCTGCCCACCTCGGTGGGGCTTCCGTCAGGTGGCGTCACAGACAGATTGGAAAGATCATGTTAGAAGCTTCTACTGTACTGTTTGCCTTCTATCAGATTCTTACTAGTATTTACCATGTAACAAATAGTGGGTTAAATCTATTCTGAACATGAGTTCATTTACTCTCCATAACAACTTGATTGTTCAGTCCTTCCATTTTATAAAAGAAATTGGGGTAGAGAGCAGAGCAATTTACCAAGTACACAGAGCTAGTAGAAAGCTGACCCTGAGGCTCAGACTGAGGTTGTAAGACTCTGAAGCCACTCTCCTAAACACTGACCTACACAACCATGTGTGTCTTATGTGCTGTTGAGCAGCTCCGACTCTTGGTGACCTCATGAATGAGTGATGTCCACAGTGTCCCATCCTCAACAGCCATGCTCAGCCCCTGTAGACCCATGTGTATGGCTTCTTTTATGTATATAAAGTTTCTATACCCTGTCTTATTCATGACGTTATCAATGAAGATGAGGAGAAAGGGCAATATAGAGAATTCAAGGTCTAGAGAGGGCTTTAGTTTTCTCATTTTTTAAAGAACTTGAGAATCTTGCTGAAAGGAAAGAGTCAATAAAGTAGAAAAGGCCAGAGATACAAGGAAAGATACAAGTTCAAGTAAGCAACATGTTCCAAGGAAACTGTGAAGAGATGGAAGACCAAGTTTAATATAAGAACACTGTATCACTGTATTAATGTTATTTAAAGACATATGATAGCAGCCTTTTGATTTGTTTTTAAAATGTTTGCGTCTGCTTATTTTGTATAATAGCTTTGTTTTTTCTATCAGGATTTTTTTTAAGCTTGTAATTCTTTTATTCTTCCAACAGATGCTCTTAAAATACCCTTAAGGATTTCAGTGGGTGAAGTTCAACCAGGCAACAATGGTTTCGATGACTTTGAATGCGAAAACACAATATGTATTTTAAATATCCGCAAACAGACATCATGGGATGATTTTTCAAAAGCAGTGAGTCAAGCGCTGACAAATCATTTCCAAGCCATCTCTTCTGATGGATGGTGGAGTCTGGAAGATGTGACATTTAATAACACCGCTGACTCCAGCATTGGCCTCGGTGCAAGCAGCGTGCGATCCATCACACTAGGTATAGGCAGTCCTGTGATGGGGAGACAGTTAAATTCCTGGCCTTATTTATGTTCATGGGCTTCATCACCTGAGATTTAGCTCACTGATTAAACACATTCAAAGCTCACTTGTGGCAGCTGCTGGTGCTGAAAAACTTGAGTATTCACAATGCAGCCATTACATAACATTGTCTGTTAGTGTGAAAATGCTTTTATGCCTCAGATAATGCTCAGAGTAAAAAGCATGAAAGCCCTTGATGAGGCTTTGTGATTGCACTTGCTAGAATGCTAGAAGCTACCCCCTGCAGCTGCTTGCTCATGTACACGCTCTGAACACAGCTCCAAATTTGAGCTTGGGCTGTTCCAGGGATGCTCTAGTTCATGAACCACCGTCCCTCCAAGGACAGAATCCTGATGAAGTCTAGAGTTGGAAGAAGCAGTTTATTTAATGAAGATATATTCAAAGCTTCCATAGGATGAATAACTGGTTATTTCTGTTTGATAGTTTCCATGAGACAGGCTCTGTAGACCTTCTAAAGAAAAGATGTGCTTTCTGGTAGCATAGTAAGTGCTCTGTAAATGGCAGTTGTGCCTGGTTAGTGTCTTTCCTCTTAAACCAGGAGAACTAACATCTACGGAACCTGCTCCGCTGTGCCAGGCGGCCAGGCACCTTATATACAGCACTGCAGCGAGTCCCTACAACAGGCTCACTTTACAGATACTAAGCAAGTTACAGCCTGAGCTGCCTGAAGTCACACAGCTAATGAGCACAGCAGTTAGGACCCCAAACCATGTCTGTCTGACTGTGTCAGTCTGGTAGGAAAACCTGTACACTTTCAATAGCCTCGTGGTACAAAGCAGGTCCAGGTTGAGGCAAGGCCGGGTTTTTCCCTGTTATTAATGCATAGGTTTAGCATGGCAGGTAGTGTTTTATTCTGTTCACTCAGACATGCTAATTCACTTTCAAAACATCTATTACCACTAGATTGTAAAGCAGATTATTCACAACTTAATGTTATGGATCTTTGATGTGATCATTAAAATGACCATACTTATTACAGAAGAATTATTGTATAATTAAATAATTTCACTAAGAAAACAAGTCATAAGTGATTCTCAGGATCACATTTTGGCTGTACTTTGCAGTGTTATTCAAGGTGTGGTTCAGAGGGGCCGGCCGAGTGGCTCAGTTTGTTAAGAGCTCGCTCAAGAGTTTGAGCTCTGAGCAACAGCGGTTCAAGTCCAGCCCGAGCTGAGCAGCCGCTGAACTGCCAACAGGTAGTAGGATGGCTCAGCTAAAAACAAAAACAAAACAAAACAAAAAAAACAACAACAAAACAACAACAACAAAAAAGGTGTGGTTCAGCCCAGGGATCTGACAAATGAAGTCAGCACAGCCGTGCTTTGAAGGAAACAGCCCTCACCACTAGCCCTCATCCAGTTAATCTGGAAACAGGGAAAGGCACATGGGTATTCACCACCGTCAGACAGATTCACCTCTGTGATCGACAGGTGCTGAGCCTCGATGGTTCCAGTGTTCATGCTTGTCACTGAGGGTGGCGCACCCTCATGGCATTTCAGATCTAAAATCATTGAGTTTTGGGCTGGCCTAGTGGCACGTTGGTTAGGAGTTGGCTTGGGACGCCAGCTCTGAGCCGCAGGGCCCCGGTTCGGATTCCACATGCGGGCCAGTGACACTGCGCCCTCTACAGCTAAGATGGTGAACAACAGCTCGACCTGGAGCTGGGCTGCCACAATGGCATAGGTTGCAAGTGGGCCGGCCGGCAGTGGGTGTGAGCTTTTGTGAGCTTCTGTGAGCCACCGTGAGCGACTGCCTCACCCAGGAAAAGCATAATGATGGTGCCAACTTGGGCCAGTGAAGCAATGTCCTCCACAACTAGACTGAAGAACAAAAGGACAGCAACTTGTTTGTTCCCCTTCCCTGATCCCCCAACGCTGTTCCCCTCCCCCAACTCCCCAATTAGTTCTTTAAAAAAATGAATAAATAAAATAAAATAAAATAATTGAGTTTTGTGGGTACAGGGCTTATTTTAGTGCCTGGCTATAGCCACTTGATAATTGGTAACTACATTATTATTGTTATTAATGTATATATGTAAGTGATTTTACTGTGTTGATAACCTAAGCTAGATTTAAAGGACCCAGGCCAATAGATAACAGAGTTACAGATGGGGTACGCATATGTGTTGGGGGCATGCTGAAATAGGTATTTGGGAATTGATCTGTGGAAGGGAGGAGATGAAAACAAGTTCTTATTATGAATCCCTAGAGAAGGCACCTATGAAGTGGGACCCTTTCTGAGCAAGAGTGAGCAGAGGACCTGGCCGTGAGAAGGCTTGCCTTATTCTGAGCACCTGAAGGTTCCTGGTTTTTTTTCTGGAATCTAAGTATTTGTTGGGAAGGGAGGCAGGAACCAAGTCATAAAGAACCTGTTATCTCAGGGCCTTTGTGGAGCAGGCACTGGAAGAACCAGAAAAGGTCATGATCAGCTTTGCTCTTGAAAACTTAACCTTAGAGATCTTTAGTTGTATTTTCGCTCTCCAATATTTCACTCAGTCCCTCCTCAGGATGGCTTTAAAGAAACCCCTATTTTGAAGGTCTTCCTCTTGACCTTCAACAAAAATAGTGAGTTAATGCCGTGTGCCCCTTCAGAAATTCTATACATGCGTTTGGACTCCTTAGGGTTCTCACAGGAGATCGTGCATTGACCCTTATAAGAAAAATTACTTTTACTCTTCTCTTGACGTTGCTTATTTCTTTTTTTCAAACTAGGAAATGTGCCATGGTCAGTAGGTCAGAGCTTCGCCCAGTCCCCATGGGACTTGACAAGGAAGAACAAAGCTGAGCAGGTCACTGTGCTTTTGTCAGGTAAAGATACTTCCAACTGAGGTCATATTAACGGGAGTGTTTGCTTTATGACTGTTTCCCAGTACCAGTTCTTAAATCTGCATGTTTTGTTCTGCGTCCTCCTGCCATGCACATAGGACTCCCACTACTAAGAAATTAAATGTTAGTTAGAAGCTTTGGTTAAGGAGGGGAAAAACCAACAGCCATGTTTCTGGCACCTGTGGCGATGTCTGGCTTGCTTCCTGGATTTTGATTGCATCTCTCATTAGGAACAAACCAGAGGCCAAACGGATGTGCTGATGGGAGAGTGACAGAAACAGTGTTAAAAGAAGTGTCTTTGCCCAGTGGAATGTTACACTCCCATCCCTGACACTGGAATATTGGGAGGTCCGTTGCTATGTTTAGAAGAGTGTGAGTCCCCG